TGGCACCTACTTCGTTGTCGATCTTCGTCAGCTGTTGAGAGTCTCCTTGCACCTCTCTGTCCCGCGTCTAGCAGCGTGCTGTAAACAAACATCGCCAGCGGCAGCCGAAATCGGAACGGTAACACGTTCTTATGTACTAGAGTTAAAGTGCCGTTATCCACGTACCATTTAAACGGCGACTTTCCTTGAGACCGATGACGTATCTTCTTTCTTCCGGGTCTTTCGGTATCCTGTGGTTTCCTCCCTTCGTGGTTGGCGAAGTGAGGTAGGGCACATTTTCTTGGGACGCGCTGACCATCTCACTTGCGGGACCGCATTCGCTTTGACACTAAACCCCCCTTTTACGCTTGTTTGCTATGACCGCGAAAAGCTGTCGACGTTAATCACGAAAGAGAATCCGGGCGCCCTATGCATCCCCTTTTCCTGTATGCGCGAAATCCTATGAGAGGAGCTCTCTCGCCCTTGTGACGGGCGCCCTTCGGCTGCGACGTCACAATCTATAAATTGTATTAATGGCCGTGAAAGCCTTAAATCTAATATACAGGAACATCGTTTGGGGAAGAACCATGATTTTAATTGGGATCATGTTAAAGTTTTACATGAGGAACGCTTTTACTTAAAACGCTTGATCTCAGAAATGATTTTCATCAAATTGCAGAAGCAAGGTCTTAACTCACAAAAGGATACCAAATATTTGGGCACCAGCTACTGCGGCTTGTTATGAAAATAAATTTTGTTTTGGTTTCTTTCTCTTCCATTAGTCGTTTCCGCAATGTTAATGCTAGGCATATAAATCTGTAATTATTTGTATTTTGAAGACGTGGCGATGTTATCGTTGACAGAATCGGTTTAATTTTAGCTGAACTTTTTTTTTATATAAGGCTGGGGAAATGCATTACGCACACCCCCGGGGGTTAACGACCCCCCCGGGAGGTAGTGTGGGACTCTCCACCTCCACCGGAGCAATTGGCGGGGGGGGGGGCTACCCACTGCCGGGTTTCTTCCTCAGCGGCCGTAACGATGGCGCCCCGGGAAGCTTTTCGCATCTTTCCGGGGCGCCCCCAGGGGCACAGTCCTTCCATTCTCGAGCCGGAGAGTAGGTGTCGCCCGGAATGACGACACCAACGACCCCCCTCCTATCCGCTCCATGAAGGTGCGGTGGGAGGGTATACTCTCACCGGCCGTATCCGTCGCATAGCCGCGCGACGCGAGACCCCACGCCGCACGGCCCGTTCCCTCTTGGGGAGGAGCGGAGCCGGTTCGCCACCCGGTCACCCGCCCCTTATGCCATGAGTCCTGGCCGACTTACAGAGGGGAGGACCAGGCTTGCGTCGGCCCCTCCCCCCTCGCGGTCAGGATTCTCCTATCCCGGGAGAGGGGGAAGGCGGCTGCGAGTGCGCCCGCAATGGCCCCCACCAAAGGAAGAGCGCGTACCGCCGTCGCCCCACCCCCTCGCCCCCGTCAGTTGCTCTAGGCGCCGCCTGTCGCGGACGGAGAGACTGGAGCCGCCGCCTGCGGGTTTCTAGTACCCTAGCGGCGGCGGCCTCCCTCTTCTGGCGTCTCTCTTCGCGCCACCTCCTCCTTTGAGGAGGCGGCCCGACGGGCGCAACTGGCGCGGCTCCAGGGGAGGGTAAGATAGCCCTCCTTCCCAGTGCCCGTTGGTGTGCCGGCCGAAGGCGGGGGGCGCGGCGTGTTTACCGCCCCCCCACAACCGTTTCCCTCCTTCTGGCCCTCTCCTGTTCCTCCTTCTGCGACATGAATTCTTCGCAGAAGGAGGTAACAGATGACCAGGCCTTTTATCCCTTTAATATGGCCCTGATAAGGGCCGGGGGCGAGAGGTCCGCTCCCACCACGCTTGTGAGGACACGGCGCTGTCTATCCCACGCCGGGCATACGCCCAGCGTGTGCTGCGCCGTGTCCTCAGCCGCGCTGCAGTGGTGGCAGCGGCTGGTGCACTCCTTCCGGACGACTCTATGCAGGTACTCACCGAAGCAGCCGTGGCCGGTGAGCACCTGCGGCGTTTGGAATGTGAGATCTTCGTGTGCCCTGCCTACCGACTTTTGTAGGCAGGGCCGGATGGCGTCGGCGACCCTCTTCCCAGAGCGGCCCGTCGTCCCCTCCAGCTGCATCTTCCAGCGGAGGAAGAGGCGTTGACGGGCCTGCTCCCTAGCGAAGGCTGTAGCCCTGGCAAGTCCTGTCCCGTTTTTGTTCCCCTGGCGGAGCTCCTCAGTACGCCGATAGTTTTCGGCGTACATCATAGCAAGGAACTCTACCGAAGGGATCCCTGCCAGGGCCGTGGCGGCCGCGTGCGATGTAGTCCTATAAGCTCGGTCGAGGCAAGTGGCCATAAACCTCTGGGCCCGACGGACCATTTGTTGAATCCGCCGGGACCCGGCCATCTCCCCCGCCCAGATCGGGGCCCCATACAAAGCCACCGAATGGACCACGTTCGCAAACAGCCGCCTAGCCCGTCTTTTCGGGCCGCCGACGTTGGGCAGGAGGGCACCTTACGCACCCGCCATCCTGCACAGCTTGGAGGTTAACACCACAAAATGTATCTCAAACCCCTAAGTGCCATCCAGAGTGAGCCCGAGGTACTTTATCTCGGTACCCACCCTCACGGAGATCCCGCCAATCCGGAGCTTTAATCGAGGTGGTCTCCCCTTTTTCCTGTCATGAAAGAACAAAGCTTCCGTTTTCGGGGGAGACACCTCAAAACCCATGCTCAGAATGGAGTGCACCACCTGGTCGAGGGCCAGTTGCCCCATGTCCCTGGCCTGTTTCCAACCCCGTCCTCCGGCCACCACTAATGTGTCGTCCGCACAGCAGACGACGTGGCAGCCGGGGGGAGGGAGGACCTGGTTGTATGCGATGTTCTACAGAAGAGGGCCGATTACTGACCCCTGCGGAACACTGCAATACACTCCCCTTCCGCATTGGAGTTCCGCTTTATTGCGGAACTCCAAGCGCCTGCCCCGGAAATAGTCCCTTATTATGTGGACCAAGTAGGGCGGGAACCCAAAGTGGGCTATTCCCACCTCTACCTGGTCCCTGGGGAGGGTATTAAAGGCATTGGCTATATTAACTGATATAGCTAACGCCACCCTCCCCTTTCTCATGATGGCCTCCGAGAGGGACCTGACGCGCTTAATCGCGTCCACAGTCGATTGGCCTTCTCGGAAGCCATACTGCACGTTATCCAGCGCGGGACTATTCCAGGACAGGTGCTGGACGAGGCGGTCTTGTATGATTCTTTCGAACATTTTGCCCGCCTCGTCCAACAGACACAACGGAAGAGGTGTATGCGGAAGGGGTGTCCTCCGGCTTGCCTTCCTTGCGTAAGAGAGCCAGTCTGGCCCTCTTCCACGGGGCCGGAAACAGGCTAGCTTCGAGGCAGAGGGTGAAGAGTCGCCTAAAGTGGTCCTCCAGCCTCCCCTCCTCGGCCAAAGCCAATGCCCATATTCGGCCCGGGAAGCCGTCAGGGTCCGGCACATCTCCGCCGACCACCAATAGGCGGTCCTGCGGGCTGGGGGGGGCGGGGGACGAGGACCGGGGCATGGACGCATCGCACGCGTTTTGCATCATGCCCCGGATCCTCATAACTTCCCCCCTCAATGGACTCGCGGGACCCGATTACGGGCCCCGCTTCGTCCCAATTGGCCGCGCAGATGGCGGCAACAAACTTGTCGCGGTCGAACGAGGTTAGCGCCCACCTTGGCGGTCGGGTCGCCCCGCTGCTGCGCCTTGAGAGCACCCCTCCCGAGAGGTGACGACGATGCGGAGCTCTATGTACCGGTGATCAGATCCAGTCTCCGCCTCAGTCCCCACCCTCCATCCCTGAACTTGTCAGGCGGCCGCGGGGGAGGTCCACGTCAGATCGACGATGGACTCCCCCTGCCATCCGACGAAGGTGTTCCCCCGCCCTCTGTTTTGTAAGCTGAGGCCGGTGGACGCAGCCCACTCCGCGCAGGTCCACGCCGCGGGGGCACGTCCCCAAGGAACCCCACACCGTGTTGTGGGCGTTGAAGTCCCCGGAGACAATGACCGGCCTAGGAAAGCGCTTCATTATGAGCGCCTCCAGCCGGTTCAACAGTGCCCCAAATTTAGGGCGGGGCATAGCACCGGATCTCATCTGTGGGCCCCCACTTGACCGCGACGTAGCCGTCCCCCCCCCCCCATAAGCTTTATCGGGGGAAGTCGCGTCCAATCCCCCAAAGATCGCCACCGAGTACCTACCCCTCTGGCCCCTGGCATCCCCCAGAATGTAGGACGATTGCTCCGGGACCGAGTAGGGATCGGCGGCGACCCCAATCCCAGCGCCGCGCTCGCGCAGCCCCTGGACAAACAGGTACTGAAACGCCCGAGCGCGGCGTAAGTTGGCCTGCAGGAGAAGTGCACCTATTGTGATGGTACACACTCCCTCTCCTCCAGGCCAA